AATACCAGGTTCAATTAAGTTTGCAAAAATGTGACATTGGCACTTCTTGCACGAATCCACAGATTTGGCATAAAAACGTAGCAGTACAGTTTCCGGCAGCAATGACCGTAGCGAAAGAATTTAAAACAGCTTATCTACATTACAATAGATAAATAATCAATTAAAAAGTCAAAATACTGTGAACAAACTAAAGCTGCATTTACCGTAATTGGTTCTTTCAACAGGAGTTATGTAAAAAGATAAAATCAGAAATGCAAAATCAATCTTTCTTCACTTTAACTGTTTCAAACTTGCACAAACAACTCCAGTCTATAATTAATTACAAACTTTCATGGGAACAACCCGAATCTAACATCGCGCATTGGCCGTAAATTACAGTTATTACTACAGAAAAACAATAACATGTACAACGTTTTACCCAACTTTCTATACATACTTTGTAATGATATTAATGAAAATTTTTACCAAGCACTTGCGGTGTTTATAACATTTCAAAACAACTATCGGTCATTTTCATTCGAATTGTACTGTGAATCTAGTATTTCTAATACTTTATGGAATTTGAAAAAGCTCATTGTACAGTCTGTTGAAGGGAGTGCCTGAAGTTCTGAAATTACAGTCGGCCATTATCGTGCGGTCAGGCCCGCATTTGGGCCAGACAATGGCTGCCACTACTCGTTAATGTAATAGCCATCCGAAAGGTGCGATCTTCCTTCTCAAGGCACCGCACTCATGACCAGCAGAAGAACCAAAAGTCTCTTCTTCTTTCGCCGGGTCGTCCGTTGTTCGGTTTTAACCGACCCGTCTGTCGTTCAGTTTAGTCGACCTGTTCGCATTCGACCAGCCTTCGAAGAATTGTTATTTTATGAGATTATTATCTCTAATAACATCACGTTCGAAAAAGAAAAAAGGAAAAATAAAAATGCAGGGAAAGATGATTTCATTCGTCGAAATTTCTATGCTCACCGCAACTTCCTTTTTCCTTCGTGCATGAAAATTGGATTAATTAGTGAAAAGCACCTCGTTGCTTGTTCTACTGTATCGAAGGAATTTCATTTGCAACTTGTATGTGGTAAAGTGAGATTTGCCATAATATAGCAATTTTTACTTTCTTAAGAAATCGAATTTAATTGTTTTTAAGACTTTCATTGCTACTTTGGTGATCAGTGACTTACATTGAGTAAGAATTTAATTCAGTCAAGTAATTAAGAAACTGAAACAGTAACATGGTTTTCCATACCATTAAAATCACATTAGTAACACTGTCCAACAAATTTTAACTTTTCTTTTGTGTTCCGATACCCACTATGTGATTCTTATAGTGTTTTGTACGCTAGTTACGAATCTGCAAACCGTTTTGCTCCTATACGTACAGTTTGTGAGAAATTTGATTTTGAAAAAGAAACATGGTTTTCAAATTTAAACAAATTTTCTGACGTAATTATAAAAGATATTGAAATTCTATATACACTACAGGATTTTATAGAATTTCCTGAATACAACGATACCTATTTTTAATATATTATACATGTTTAAGTATGTTTAAACGATCATTGAACGCGGAGGGATCTTGATTTAGCACCAATTTTTTAGGATATTTTTCAATTTATCTGAAAAAGTAGAGGTCTCGTGTAAAATCGAATTATACCACGCGATAGAGCAGATTTTTATCTTGAAAATACACCCGGAGAAAGTTGCAACGTCGATTTTCTTATCAAACCAGGAAGCAAAATAGCTTCGCGGGAGACGAAGTACCAACAGTGGTGCTCCGCGTCAGGACGGTTGCTTGGCGTTCCGCCTAATGCAGTTGCTTTAAGCGGTAATATAGGCGGGACGTGGAGCACCACTGTCGGCTTGATAAAAAAATCGACATTGCAACTTTCTCCGGGTGGTTTTTCAAAATAAAAATCTACTCTATCGCGTAGTATAATTCAGTTTCACGCTGAACCTCTACTTTTTCAGATAAATTGAAAAATTAGTGCCAAATTGGGGTCGTTAAAACATACTTAAACATTTATAATGTATTAAAGATAGGTATCGTTGTATTCAACAAAGTCTACATAATTTTTTATCTTTTGAAAATTTGTTGTTTTTTTTTTCAAAAACTGTACGTATGGGAGCAAAACGGTTTGCAGATTCGTAATCAGCGTACAAAACATTATAAGAATCATCTAATGGGGATCGAAACACAAAAGAAAAGTTCAAATTTGTTGGACAGTGTAATCAGAGTTAACCATAGAGATACTATAGTTTTCATCAAGCTTGAAACTTGAAATTGATGTGCCATTGATAAGACACTTTTTCATCATTTTATGTACAATGGTGTAATTACACCCCCACAATTTTAGTGGAAAATTTAGAGAAAAAACTTAAGCTGGATGAGTATTTGAAAAATGTTATTGATTTTTAAGAAGATAGGTATAAATATATTTGAATGGAATGGGTCATTTTAACCTCTGTAGTAATTTTAGCGTTAATCTCTCGAATCTCTCTTTCGTTCAATATCTACCAAAAATGGCCTATTTCTACCATCCTTCTTCCTGCCGAAACGTGTTCGGCGCCGAATTGAAAGAGCTCGCCCGATAAATAATGATAGAAAGTTATACGCGTTGCGTGTTTCGAAGGGTGGATGTAGAAAGCAAACGTTCTTGCGGACGTATCCGGAGCGTGCGTAAGGGATGATGTAGGGTAGAAACGGGGACGCGCGATTGGCCGTGGGGCGGGAACATTCAGGGGTTGTTCAAACCAGCAGGTGGATCTTCAACAACACCCCTTTGTCCCTCAATTAGTTACGTTTTTTCCTTTCCTGTCCCTCCTTCGAAATTTTACCTGTCCGTCGGTCGCAGTCGGTCCTCGAGTCTTCGAACGGATGATTTTTCGTCGAGTCACAGTGAATCCGGTTTTAGTTGAATCGCCGTGGAATGATTTTTATTTTCATTTTTTTTTTCTTTTTATTGTACACGAGTTAGAACATCGTATCGCGAGTGAACAAAGTGCCAGATGGATTTTTGTTAGAAATTTTGTGCATTGAAGATTTGTAAATGTGTTGATATGGTTTTGTTCAGTGAATTTTATCGGTGATATTTTGTAAAATTTTATTAAAAAGTGTCCTAATTTTTATTTTAGTGTAATATGCTGCGTGTTTGAAGTCAGTTTTTATGATGTTTCATTATGTTTCGGTTTATAAAAATCATTTGATCAAAATGTAAATGAAAGTAAAATAATGTGCGATGTGGATTGAAAAATACAATATCAGGCATTATGTAAGTTTATGTTCTATTTATAATCTTTTGTTTAGTCAACTTTGTTTTAAATGATGATCCGACGGCGATGATCAGGAGGAGTGTCGTAGATCCCAGTGAAATTATATTGTATGCTGTTTTCTTCTTTTTTCTTTACGATTCAATGTTATTTAATTTAATTAGAATAAATTTCAATTCTTAAAGGAGCCCCAGAAATCGTAATTCGGTCCAGTAATTATTGTATGTGATACATCGCGCTTTAAAATGACTATAATCATCATTGAATATTAATTATAGATTAAGACAAACTACAATTTATCGCTACTTAATATTCAAAGTGCATAATGCAATCTCGCAATCTTAAAGAATGCAATCTCGCAAGCTATTAACCTTTCAACCCTTTCGCAGACTCTAACTGAAAAGCGATCAAAACAATATTTTTTTATATAAACGGAATATATCGATTAAAGTGTTTTTTTTTAATCTATTAAGAAGGAAGCAGTAAAATAATACGCCTTTTGTACATAAGATCACTTATTCTGATTGCAGCCGTTATCTCATTGTGAATAATTTTATTTTACAATTTTATTTTCATTATAAATTCTACTATCAATACTAGACTTACGTTGTATTATAAAAATAACTTTATACTTTCGTGTAATAATAATCGGAGGACCTAGCCCACCACAGAAAAAGATCTTTAGTTACGCCGGTGATAATAACTCAAATGAGTACTAATTAATCGAGTAGCTATCAAAAATCTCCTATTCTTGCACGTTCTAGATATCATCTAAATTGAACCGAACCACCTGGATATCTCTTGAAGACAGCCTTATCTTAAATTTCGTAATGACTGAATTATCAAATTTTTTGCAAGAACATGTTTTGTATCCGCTGCGATTTTCCGCACTACTTTTTAGCACAAAATTCATTTCCCGTTGTCTCATATCTGCCATAGTTCTCTCTTTTCTCTTAAATCGTCTCGTTTTGCACAGATGCTAAAAGAACGTCAGTTTGCCATGTGAGGGAGAATAATAAAGAAATCACAGAAGAAACTAAATTCTGTTCCGGCGTTTGCTTATCGCGTCGCTTTTGACAGTTGGAAACAAATTTACAATAAAAGAAATACTATACTTCAAAGGTCATCATACGTAATTGATGATAATATTAATAATTAATGATTTATACATAAAATCCTGAAACTTCTTGATCGTACCTCGTAGACCAAGATATAAAGCAAAGAACTACACTGTTATTATATAAGTAGATCAATCAAGCATAAACGGAAATTGTTTTGTAGCAATCAAACATAAAAGTGTACGTTGTTGCAATGATTTAGCAAAATTAATGAGTATGTTTAGACTCGCTGTGCACAATTCGTTTTGCCGTGCGATCGTCTTGTTAATAGCTAACATGATGCGAAAGTAACCAATGCATGGTGTCATTGTGCAACGTGTTATCATTAAGTATTTAACAAACCAGGTAATTAAAACGAAGCGAAATTTTATAAAAATTGTGCACTTACGTTCAGGTTTTCTTTTCTTTTCATGATTACGGAGAATTATGTTTCATTAACATTTGGCTTTTCTACATTATTTTCTTGATAAATTTGAAATTAATAATAAGAAAAGAAAGAGAATAAGCTGTAATGGATAGGAAAAATACGAAAGTTTATTTAATTTAACCATTTTTATTTCATTCCCTTTGTTAAATTAAACGAAACTGAATACTATTAAAATTACTGTTCATCTGTTACAGGTGAATATATTCTCAAATCTACCAATCAAGGGGAAAGCGGAAATAGCGCTGTCGAAGAAGACGATCAGCTTCTCGCGGACGCGTCGTTGGACTTAAACAATCATCCCTTAGCTGGATTAACCGATGATTCTCTGGGATTAACCGATACCTTAGAGCTTGAAAATGATTTTCCCTCGGACTTACTCGGAGGTGGCCTCTTAGGAAGTGCTGCTGTAGATGGTCTTCTGAACAACGATACCTTGGGTCTTCCCGACGGATTCAACCTCGAGGAGGCGCTTCAACTCGTTGGCCTCGATGAGGCTCAATCAGAGGTCTGTACCATATTTTGTGATCCTTGCCAATTTTTGTTTTATATTAGGATTGTAGATATTTTTCAGAAATAGGATCAAAATTGTCGTCTTCTGAACATACTATATCCTTTGATAACTGCAATCTAGATAGAATCTGGAATTTAAAAAATAAAATTTAAAGTCAACAATCTTTGAAATAAACATTTTTGAGTATGGGCCTATTGTATTGTTATTAAATATAATTTGGTAATTCATATTTAAAAAAAGAAAATCTTATTGGCAAAAAACGCGATTATTAGACCTGCTGGAAACAATAAATTGAGAAATTATACAGAACAAAATCAATTCTCATCTTAGATTACTCGTTTCCTATTCAATAATCCAATAATAATTTGATTTGATTCATTATCATCGACAAATATTCATTAAAACGACAAATATTCATTCAAATTTATTACATGGGCATTAACTGAGGCTAAGAAAAAAATCATAAATAATCATTGATTAGAAATCAAGAGTCTATAAAGTTTGCTATCCTGTTTATGTATATTTGTTAATTATTCATACTGGACATATTTTTAATTATCCATCACTAAAATGAACAACATATTCGTAACTCAGAAGTTTCAAAAAATTAAAAATATTATGTGAAATCTAATTAAAGAAAACTAAATAGATTTACATAAAATAAATTCGAATTAACACGTTATCAGGTTTCATTCAAAATTATATTTCATTATTACTCAATATACCAATGCCCAAGGATTAAATTTATCGTATCTCATAAAACTTTCAGTTATGATAATAAAACGTTTCAATTAGCAAATTAATTCCACATTTACGATGAAAAACTAATCAATTCAAACCGGTGTTCTCTCACGGCAAATCGAGTTAAGCATATCCGTTTGCTTCCCGAATGGCCGTCTTCAACGAAAACATGACATCGGCCTCATAATGTGAAAGCTACTTAAATAGGAAACGAAGTCGGAAGTAAAGAAGAAGAAGAAAGAAGACGCCGTCGCGGAATCCGCGAGTGCGAAAGAGGAAACGGCCATTACTAGCTCGAGCACCGTCGAAGTATCAAAGTCACCAAGGTGCGAGGATCCTGAAACCGGCGACATGATTCACACACCGCAATTCCATCATCCCCATCACCCGCACCATCGTTCCTTCCAGGTAAGTAAATTAATTTACTTCATATTTTTTTAGTTTATATTTTGAAATTTAAAAATTTTAATTTCAGAACTTTGAAATTTAGAAATTATAATTGCAGAACTTTGAAATTTTGAAATTTGGATTTTAGAACTTTGAAATTCAATTAAAACAGAAAAGGGAGGAAATTAATTTTTGTGGATCTAATATTTTTATATTTACACATTTGGATTCATATATGTTTTTCAAATATAAAATTATAATGCACTTGAAATACTTTTCATATTCAATAGAATTTTTATACTATTTGATTTTAATACCTGTTTTCTAAATTAAATAAATTGATTCTTGAATTCATATTATTAACGCGAACAAACATCCACGATGCACGACTTTTGCGGCTGTTCAATGCGTTCGCCTTGATTTGCTTCGACGTGCTTAAATTACCTACATATAAATATGCAAAGTGTTTTTTTACAAACTCGTTATCGATGTAACATACGCTGTCGTACGTAACTGCGGGCAAAGCTAGCTTTTATTAGAAACCGGGAACAAACGTTTATTACACTTCAAAATACAGGTAGATTTCTTATTAGATCTGAAATACGTAGCATTAGAAGAAGTGGTTGAGTCCAAAGGATTCATTACTAACTTTCTCAAATCATATTTTCTCTATTAATAAATATTATCATTTGTAATTTTAATCATAAACTATTATTTTTGCTGTTGAACATTCAGGATCTGTATAGACATACAAAATTTTCAACGAAATAACAAATTTCTAATAACTGGATCCGAATAACCCTTTCCTCTTTCTAGTGTTAATTATAAAGCACGTGTAATTATTTCGAAATCTACTATTAATAGGTCGAATATTTCAAGTATTTCTTTTTCTTCCAACAACTTAATAAAAAAATTGTTAATTATGGAATTCATTAGATTATAGTATTTACCAGTTCCAAGTAAAATATTATGCCCAATAAATGATCGAAATAATATGGAATCCGGTTTAATAGCAGCACTAGTTATGTAAAAATTATGTAAAAACGTAAAAGATCAACTTGTTCAGAGATATAATTTTTTCTACACAAATTTCAATTTGCAAAGAACCGTATGAATCATATTAGTACTTATGAATCATTCCTGTAAATTTACATAAAACAATTGAATAGTCATCAAGCAAGATTGTATGGTATCTACTCGATAATACTTTTTCGTTGATTTCCATGCAGAGATAGAGCCATGTCACTCTTGATTTGATCTGACATTTTCAGGTAATTTAGTTTTCAAATGATCTCGCGTTTAGAACTAGTTTTCACTGAACGACATGTACCAATATGAAAGGAAATCAATTTTTATATTGATAAATATAGCTCTCGATCGTGATTTATGAAAAGAGAAATTAATTTAAGATGCAGTTTGGAATGTTCAGTAAGTGGTGTAATATTGTGCCAGCTTTAGAATTCTTATCACAAGATTATATTTATCGTGTTCGATTTTTTACATGTTCACATTAAAGATAAAAATAAAAAGAAATTTATATTTGTTTGTCTTGTATCGTCTATCGGTTGGCATTTATTTGAAACGACAGAAATATATAGGTACTTAAAGTAGTTTACACTCGCGATCTAATTAGACTTTCATAGGAAAAATGGCGATATAGGAGAAGCAGAAATTCTCAAAATCTGAATTTTGAAGATATTAATACCAAAAGTAATTTAGAAAGAAAATAATGTGACTTTTATTTAGCGTGTATACGCAGGTAGTGAGAGGCCACAAACCTATAATATACAAGCCTCTCTCCCCGGGGTCGCCAAGGGGGAAGGATGGGGACCCGAGACATCCCCATTTTAAATAAAAGACTGAATAAAAAATTCATGATTTTCGAGTAATTTCGTGTTAGCTATTAACAGCTTTTAGTAAATGATATTTATAAAAACAAAGTTTTGAATTTCTTAATAAAGGGTTAATTGCTCTTTCTGCCTCCCAAGCCTTCCAGTTGTACTTCTGATTAAAACTCTTTTCAAAATTCGGATAAAGTAAAGATAAATAAATATAGTGATAATTATGATGAAATTCTTGATCATTTATTATTATCCAAGATAATTGATAGATTTGAAAATATTTTATTAATACCAGGTATTTACGACCAGCATTTACTCAAGTTATTTTCGAAACTGGTTCCATAAAAAGCATTGAAATTAATCAAATGAGAAAACCGGTGGCGTAAATGTCGCTTAAAAGAGAAACGCCGCGACGGGTGCACAGAAGGAGAAACAGTTGTTTGGGTAATTGAGGCTGCACTATATTTTCCAACTTCTACCACATTTCTTTGAGCCTACTGACATACATAAGATGTGTATAGTGTCCGAGATAGCATCTCTTAATGCAACAAACGTTCGCCGTATAGAGCAACTTGAAGACATCATCATGCATGTTGCTAAAATAAACATTTCCCTAGATTCACAGCTCACGAGGAATATGTACCTACTTCTCAACTGGCTGACTCAGATTTTAATGAACTTTTGCAGGTTGATAGATTACGTTATTACAGACATCCTTATACACAGAGTTCGACTAATAACCCAAATACCTGACATAATTTTTAATAATAACATGAATCTCTTTACTTCACCTAATAATCACAAAAGAATCACAAAAAATTTCTTGATCTCTCCCTAGGCAACTCATCATCTCTTGATGAATAACAAATGATTCAAAGAATAAATAAAGTCGAAATTTACACTATTACAAATTTACAAATTAATTTACAAATTAACGCTACTTCGTACAATCGCGACTCCGCTGTAACATGATCTGTCAACAAGAAAAATCTCATTAAAATCTGACTGGTACACTTAAGAAATTCTCTTTACGAGTCGGTCTAGTTGGAAAGCTTTCCTTGTTAGAGATTTTTCACTTCACATCTTCCGGGAGAATCATCTGCGGCGAGATGCGACGTCGTTAAACGAGAGAATGATCGTGACAATGACCTACCGAGATAGTCCTCGACGGCCACTGAGACATAGACGTGATGCAATGCGTACGTGCACCGAGTGGTTGCATACACGTGGTGAAATACACCTGAAAAGTTCCGCCAATCGGAGACGCCTCGGATCCCTACCATAATCCTTGCCGAGTGCGATTATGATCGCGTTGTACTCCTGGCAACGCGTTCGCGGCAAACACTCGTGGACGACACGCGGCCCGAGATAAACGCTAAGGAAAATCAAAGTCACTGATAAGCTTCGTTCCGTTAAGCGCACGAAACGTGTTTGTGATCCACGAAAAAAGGAAAAAAAAAAAAAAGAAATAGTGCGACATTCCGACTAATTTGATTTAACCCTTTTAGTGCTAAATACTTTTGACAAATGAACGGTGGGTACGCGGAGTTCATTCTCATTGAAATTATAATTAAACAAAAATTAAGGTAATTTAGTGATCTCTAGTGATTGAACTGTTTCAATTTTTGAACGATTGAATACGTTCATAGCATTTAAAGTGTTGTGTATTCTTTTTTTATTGGTGATAAAAAAAATAAGAGTGCTTAGTTCTTTTTTTAAGCTGTTTTGCATGTTAATGGTGTTTTTTGGTTGGAAGAGAAATAACATTTGGACCTTGATAAGGATTATAATAGTTGGAATGTTATTTTGTTTTGTTTTAAATTTATTTCTTCTATAAGAAATAATTTATCATTAAGAATAAATAGAAATTGTGAAGATTCATGTAACTTATACATACAATTATCTGACTTGATAGAATTTTTGTCTTAATTATTATTTACAGAAGTATCAGTATAAAATTTTTTTAAACAGAACTATATCTTCTTATTATTGATATTTCAATACGCACTTCTAGATGTACAAAATTCAAACAATTGATTGTAGTAATCAATGTACGCAATTGTCTAATTATACAACAATGCTAACAAGGCTCCCATTAAGGGCCCCCACAATGTTGATCCTCTTTCGAATAGAAAACACCTCTGATATTTAAGATTGTCACTGTCTCAAAAAAAATCGACAAATTTAGGACTCAGTATATGCCATCTAAGTGTTAAGCACTCTTATTTTTAAAAGGATTAATATATAACTACCGTTTCGCGATACATTCCTACACTATCTGTTTACATTTCTCAAACAGTGAAAACGATTCTGAAGCGTATGCTGTTCGTTTGTGTACTCGATTCTGATAATCTTGATGTTACGTGAACAACTGATTCCATGATACTTAACACGCTATCAGTCATGGTTGCGTGAAATGATGTAAAACCTTGAAGAGGAATATCTGCCTAACGCGATGGATATCATTCCTGTCGTCCCGCTTACTTTCCTTATTGTCACGGTCTTCTGAAAATTTGGAACTGCCGAAAGAACAAATGGTTTTTTGATCGCAAGAAACATACACACACATGAATGACGTCCAGCAGTTTGTGTTTAAATCTCATCAACAAACCATCGAACAATATCAAGTTAATTCAGAATGTTGGAATCTGGTAGTGGACGAAGGTCTTCTTCAGGTAGATATATTTTATACGTTGCTCTTTATTTCAAGCTAAATAATTATACAACTTTTTCGAGTACAGTGGTGTAATTGTTGTACTACTTGTCTTAGAAAAATTTAGTGATACACATATTGAGCGATAGAATTTTCATGATATTCTTTGAGGAATTTCATTGGTGTAACTGAGGGATTAAGGAAGGAACTGGTCCCCTCACTATTCTAAGATTCTAATGTTTTAAAATTTTGCAAAATCGAATACAGTATTGAATTTCATTGGTGTAACTGAGGGATTAGGGAATGGTACTAGGAGGGATTAGGGAGGGAACTAGTCCCCTCATTATTCTAGGATTCTAATGTTTTAAAATTTTGCGAAATCGAATATAGTATCAAATTTCATTGGTGTAACTGAGGAATTAGGGAGGGAACTAGTCTCCGCACTATTCTAAGATTCTAATGTTTCAAAATTTTGCGAAATCAAATACATCCTCCCCCGTGGGCATATCCACGGGTTTACGGGCACC